AATTTGAAGCTACCCAATATAAGTGAAAATCTGCAAAAAATGTTGGCTATAAAACATAAACGAGCCTTCTTATGACATTTTTTGGCTCGGCTTTAAGTTTAATATTTTTTCAATAGGGTATTAATGATCCGGTCGTCATTTCCTTCATATTTCAAATAGAAGCTTGAATAGAAGTTTTTGTTGCACGTTGTCAGAAGTGTATGCGTGTATAATGTCATTACATGTTAATTTGATATGACATAGGGGTCATTGAAGTTAGATATGTCAAACACAATTATTTGTTATAAATATAAAATTTATTGTTGCGAAAAAGTATATTTGTATTATTTAAAACCAGTAAGAAAGTAATCTATATAATTTAAAAAGTTCAAACACACAGTGGTTGAAATGTGGCAAAATACGCATGAAAACACAAAATTTATTTTTCTTCGGAATGTACGATGAAATTATGATATCAAGCCGTAGTAGTTTTACTATATTACAAGGAAGAGAAATAAGCTTTCGAAAATGAGAAAAATAAAAAAAAAATCGGTTAAAAAGTGGATAACTTATACAAATTTTTGTATTTTAACATTTTTGTTATACTCTTCCGCCCATCCGTTCGTCTTTCCGTCTGTTGATGTAAAATTGTAAACAAAGTACAGGTCGGATTTATAATCCGATTTGGATAAAATTTAATACAGCTCTTTTATTTGGCCCAAGGACGAACCCTATTGAAATTGGTGAAAATCGGTTAAGATTTGGACAGAGCTCCACATATATTTTCGTCCGATTTTATGTAAATGGTGCAACAAAGTCCCAATATATCATTCAATTTACACGAAATTTGGCATAGCGTACTGAAATGAGTCTAGTATAATGTGTGCAAATTTCGCGAAAATCGGTTCAGATTTAGATATAGCTCCCATATATGTTTTCGCCCGATTTAAGGTATATGGTGCACCAAATACCCAAACTTAAACCGATTGACACAAAATTTTGCACAACGCACAGTGGGTTAGAATAGCCTGTTTTCCTGGATTCATTAAAAAATAAAATTTTAAGTATCGTTAAATTTTTTGCACCCGGTTACAGTATACAAAATTCTACATCACTTGTCGTTAAAATAAATGTCAAAAGTGGTCTGGTGTTTTTGTAGTGAAACTTCAAAGTCAAACTTCATAGAAATTTGTGTGCCAGAAACAGCTGAAAAAAGCGAAAACGTTCCCGTTGAAAATTTTATTTATTTTAAAAAGTATTGCGAAAGATAAACATTTTTAAATGGAACCATGAAGTGCAGGTTATTTTGCAAATACTTGGTTAACATTTGAGTATCAAATTGTGTTTAAAAGTGATTTAGATGTAGTTATTTATATTGAAAATGCCAAAAAAATTAATATTTTTATATTTTAAATGGATAAATACTTATTATTCGTCCACATTCGTGTCATAATTTTTAGTTTATATTAAAGAGGACTGTGTTATATTGCTAAATTTTACGCTGCCCTTTTGTGCCTTTTAGAAGCCATGCATTGTTTAATACAAGTGTTGCAGCAGTCAAATTAGCTAAAAGTCACATTGACCTCGCGACTGGTGCTGTTGTTGTGTGTTGTGTTTTCATGTTTTTCATGTTATTTTTTCTAATTATTTGTGCTTTTCCGTATATTATTGTTGTTATTTTTGTTTCTTTTAATAATATTCTTTGTTACAATAATATTTTGTTTTTGTTTATTTTAATAATATTCTTTGTTTTGACAAATAGTGATTGTGTTGTGCAGTTTCAAGTAATCGGGTAAAAGGGTTTTTTATTAGCATTTTTTATAGATACAAGTTTGAACGTTGTTTTTTATAATCGTCGAAGCTTATGATGAATTCATGCGCTCAGACAAGATGACATTTTTAGCTAAAGAAATAAAAAAAGCGCACCAAAACGCAAAAAAATTTGCAGAAATAATAAAAATAGATGTTAATTTAATACAAAATGCACGTGATGGTTATTGCTGTATCCAGTGGCCATGAGATTAATAATGAAAAATTTCAAATATATGCACACAATACAGGTATAATATGCCTACCACTTTGCACAAGTCTTTTATTCAAGGACCAAAAATTGTGTCAAATGCCTTTTTACATATTGAGCAGTTATCAGAAGTTGGTGATGCTACGGACATACATACGTATAATAAATACGTCGGAAACTCACTCAAAACCATTAGGTTTTTGATAAAATAACTATTTACATTTATCGATTTGGAAATAACGTATGCTTTATCAAATTTAAATCGAATTTCAAAATTTTTTTCTCCAAAAAGTTCAGAATTTTTTATCAGTTTTAGTGAAAAATAGCCAGATATACAGTAAACATAAAATATGTTCTTGTGATAATATTGAAACAAATGACTTTTACTACATTTTATACAGGTATATGACCTTTTTCGACGTTTACACCTTTTCGACAGTAGAAAACCTGAAAATTCGTCATACGGGCATCCCTGGCTGCGGATGATCAACTTAAAGATTCAATGTTTAAGTTCTCATATTGTACGCCTTGCACTATATACCTGCACTGATATTTGGCATTACTTAATAAAATTATACTCAAATATACTTAGAAAACATTTTTTTAAACTTATTTTAATGGTAGTAACAGAAAAATAAAGAAAAATTATCCTAACATAGCTTCCCTGATTTGATCCAAGAAAACATGCTACTCTAACTTACTGTGCAACGTACTGAAGTTAGTATAACCTAACGTGATGCAAATTTCGTTCATATCGGTTCAGATTTGCATATAGCTCCCATATATGGCCGACATGTACACAAAGTGCTGAAATTAATATAAACTAATCTGTAACAAGTTTCGTTGAAATCGATTGAAATATACTTTCCATTAATGTTTTCGTGCGATTTTAAGTAAATGGTGTCCTAAACTCCTTAATTTTGTCATATTTGTTAATAATTGACAACAAATTATTTGAAACCAAATAAACATGAAGTCCGTCTAATATATGTCATTCTATACTCATTTTTGTACGTTCTGCACACTTTCGCGCAAATCTGACAAAAATAAGACTCAATTCAGTACGCTATGCCAAATTTCGTGTAAATTGAAGGATATATAGGGACTATAGTGCACCATTTACATAAAATCGAACGAAAATATATATGGGAGCTATATCCAAATCGGAATCGATTTTCACCAATTTCAATAGGGTTCGTCCTTGGGCCAAATAAATGAGCTGTACCAAATTTTATCGAAATCGGATTTTATGTGCGACCTGTACTTTGTTTACAATTTTACATCAACAGACGGACGGATGGGCGGACGGACATACATAAATCGACTCAGAAACTGATTCTATGCACATTCTCAAAAGGAACCAGTAAGGAAAGTAGTAAAATCGGACTTGGCCCATTATATGGTACCCTTCAACACTTTGGGTATATTGTACGGACGAAAATATATATGGGAGATATGTCGAAATCTAAACCGATTTTCCCGAAACCCACCACTCATCATTCTAGACTCAATTCAGTACGCTATGCCAAATTTCGTACAAATCGAAGGATATAAAGGGACTTTGGTGCACTATTTACCTAAAATCGGACGAAAATATATGAAAGCTATATCTAAATCTCAACCGATTTTTACGAAATTTAACACATATAGTTCTAGACTTAATTCAGCACACTATGCGAAATTTCGTGCAAATCGAAGGATGCAAAGGGAATTTGGTGCACTATTTACCGAAAATTAGACGAAAATATATATGGGAGCTATATCTAAATATGAACCGATTTCCACGAAATTTAACACACATCGTTTTAGACATAATTCAGTACGCTGTGCCAAATTTCGTGCAAATCAAAGTAGATATAGGGTACATCATTTACATAAAATCGGACGAACATATATATGGGAGCTATTTCGAAATCTCGACCGATTTTGCCGAAACTCACCACTCATCATTCTAGACTCAATTCAATACGCTGTGTCAAATTTTGTGCAAATTGAAGGATATAAAAGGACTTTGGTGCACTATTTACCTCGAACTATATATTGAGACTTTGGTACACCATTTACCTTAAATCGGACGAAAATATATATGGAAGCTATATCCAAATCTGAACCGATTTTCAGGAAACTTGACATACATCATTCTAGACAATATTCATTACGCTGTACCAAATTTCGTGCAAATCGAAAAATATATAGGGCCGTTTACATTAAATCGGGCGAAATGTATATGGGAGCTATATCTAAATCTGAACCGATTTTTCCCAATTTCAATAGGGTTCGTCCTTGGGCCAAATAAGTGACCTATGCCAAATTTCATCCAATTTGGATTATAAATGCGACCTGTGTTTTGTTTACAATTTAACATCGACAGACGGACGGACGGGCGGACATGCGTAAATCGACTCAGAAAGTGATTACACCTAATTCTGTTTTTACACGAATTATTTTTACACGAATTTGAAATAATACGAGTAAATACGAAAAAATATTTATATTTTTACACGACATAATTTGAAATAACACGAATAAAAAAAAAAAACAAAATTACTTTTTTTACATGAACTATTTATTTATTGAAGAAAATTCTGGAATGCTTTTGCTCAAACATCCCTGCCTTAATTAGAGTAACAACCCTGCATGGCATGAATTTCTGATATGGCAACATTTTATATAATTCTGGTGTGTGTTCTGAGTTATGTCTACGTATGCGTAATTGCTGTTTTACGGGAAATGCGGGATTTCCCGATTTATTGAAAAAGTAAAAAGGTACATAATGTATTGTACACACAATTTAGTTCCTATTTGACATTTATAATTGAAAGATCGTTAGTTTTTGCTGATTTTTAACAAGTGCTAAGTAAAATAAAGTAGAAGCTCATATAATTTTGGTAGACCAATAACAGGTTAGTTTCAAATATTTAATTTTAGATTTTTGCATGTTTGATTAATAAAATATATTTTGGTAGCCACACCCATGTTACATAATTCTCCTGCATTAAAAATGAGGAAAGCGATCAGCTTAGATATCGAAATCAAAATTTTAGATCAACTTGCAACGGGACAAGGCGCAACGGTTGTGGGAAATAATTTCGGAATCCATGAAGCTACTGTAAGAACAATTAAAAAAAATGAAACTGCAATTAGAGCATCAGTATGTTCTGGAACAAAATTAAGTGCAAAGTCATCATCGTATGTAAAGGATGTTGTTAAAGAGAAAATGGAAAAAGCTTTGGTAATCTGGATAGAAGACAAATCCCAAAAGAGAATACCAGTAGACGGACTTGCTATCAAGCAGACAGCATTAAGAATCTATAAACGTATCCAGGAAATTGATCCAGATACATCATCTCAGTCAAAACAACATAAGTAAGTACTGGTTGGATGACTGGTTTTTTAAAAAGACACGCTCTCCACAATATAAAAATTAAGGGAGAAACTGCATCCGCTGATGAATTGGCTGCTAAAGAATTTCCCGAAAAACTAAAAAAAATTATTGAAGATGGAGAATATACTCCAGACCAAGTTTGGAATTTAGATGAAAGCGGCCTTTTTTGGAAGAGAATGCCTAGAAGAAATTATGTAGCAAAATCGCAGAAAACAGCCGGTGGTTTTAAAGTAGCAAAGGACCGTATTACGTTGTTGTTTTGTTCCAATGCTTCAGAAGAACGTATTCTTAAGCCACTCCTAGTACATCGTGCCTTAAGACCACGTTCCATGAAAAGTGTAGATTTCAAAAAATTGCCTGTACACTGGATGGCGAACAAAAAGGCTTGGGTAACCAGTGCAATTTTCACAGAGTGGTTTCAAAAGCACTTCATCCCAGAAGTTAGGCGCTACATGAAAGAAAAATGTCTCGAATTTAAAGTTCTTTTGATTCTAGACAATGCACCAGGCCATCCAGTTTTGGAGTACCCAAACGTACAATTTTGTTTCTTGCCGCCTAATACCACTTCCCTTATACAGCCACTAGACCAGGAGATAATTGCTACGTTTAAAACGTATTACATAAGAAGTTCATTTCATTATGTTTTAGAAAAACTTGATAATTATGAGGAATCATCAGCCATAGATGAATGGAAACAATTTTCTATAATGGACTGCATTAATCAAGTCAAGATCGCGTTAGATTTATTAAAGCCATCAACTTTGAACTCGTGTTGGAAAAATATTTGGCCAGAATGCGTAAAATGCAAAGATCCTGTTATCGATAATAACGCTGAACTTGCTGATATAATAACAATGGCCAATGCAATCGGTGGGGATGGATTCGATGACCTATCGTTAGCAGATGTAAAAGAATTGTTGGTAGATGAAAGCTTGAGCGAAAATTAAATTATAGATCTCACCCTTGAGACTCGTTATGATAAAGAACATAGTGACAGTGACGAAAGAGATCGTCCAATTTTGAAAGCATCTCTAATTAAAGAAGGTCTTGATCTCGCTACAAAATTAGGTAGTCATTTTGAACAACATGATCATGACGAGGAACGAGCTGCCAAATTTCAAGGTGAACTGAAATCATTAATGGCATCTTACAGGGAAGTTTAAAATGAGTTAACACGAAATAAAACTCAATCTAAGATAACTGATTTCGTTCAAAAATCTACTGATGTCCCAACACAGTCGGCTAGAAATGATAATGATCAACAAAATCATTCCAGTGATGGCAGTGCAAACGTTTACGTTTATTATCAGACAGTGACAATAAATAAAATTGTTTAATGTTTAATTTTTTCTTATGGTTGTACTTTATGCTATTTAAGTTTTTCGGCAATGAATTCTGGTATTATTTTTTTATGAAATCTAAATTTTAATTTATTTTATTATAATTTAGTTTATTTAATAAATTAAAACGAAAATAAATTCCTAAAATAACTACAACAATATTTTTTTATATTATTTAGTCTAATTTTAACTTATTTTTTGAGGTCTAGAACCAATCAATTATTTTTGTACTTGACCAGTATCTTTTTTTACACGATTTTTTTACACGAATTTCTCGGGAACAATTCTATCGTGTAACAACAGAATTAGGTGTATATGCATATTCTCAAAAGGAACCATGTGTCTATTTCGTTTCCTTTTGCCTGTTACAAACATATGCACAAAGACATAATACCCTGTAACACAGAGTGGTGAAGGGTATAAATACATTATGAAATGCGGAGCCCGCTTTAATTGTCACACTGGAAAATAACATTAAAACATGTATTCGATAGATGGGCCATTTGAGGCGCAGACACTATTAACATTTGCATGAAATAACGTGCAAACAGTAACTTTTAAAAAATGTTGTGCATATAAGTGTTCTGTATATTTATACAGCAGCAATAAAAATATTGTCATTCGTTTCACACTGCTATTATTTAGTAGCAACATCTAACCTTAAACTAATCAGAACATAAAGTTGTGTTTCAACTTTCCAAACTGGAAACTTTTGGAATAAGTTATTGAATTTAATTAATAATTGAAAAATGTTTCAAATATTAGGTATTGACGAAATACACCAGAAGGTGATTGGGTAACATGACAGTGAAAAGTTAAAAAAAAAAACAGTCGTATCGCTACCTAACTCCCGAAACATACCACCGCAATTTACTAGTAAAATGAAGTTATTACGGAAAGAACCGAACATAAAAACGTCATTGAAAGTAATGAGGATGTCGAAATGTGGTGGTGTGTGAAAATATTAAAATTGTGGGCCGTTCTCATTGATGACAACTGGCGTCAATACTTCTCCTATATATGCCATTCTTCTTTTTAATTTTATTTCAATTGCTGGATTTACAGTATACAGTATTTTTCGGTTAATTGCACATCAAAATTTGCACAAATTTTTGTTCAATTAACCGAGGAACCAATTATCCGAACCCGCTTACTATGAAATGAAATATTTTTGACCCATCATGTGGTTCAATTAAGCGTGGAAACCAATTAACCGTAGGGTCAATTAACCGGAAAATACTGTACCGAAAAACCGATCGCCGATAAGAGTCATGACACGTATATGACAATGTTAATACTCAATACATTCCTGCGGACAATAATAATGGTTACAAAACGACATAAATTTATTCAAATACTGGAAATTTATACGGAATTGATGATGAGAGACGA